ACAAAGCAATATTTCAAAATAAACGCGATAAATACAAAATTATTTGTGTTTTCAAAAAATCGCAGCGATCTGCTTTCGCGATTCAAATCGCGCGATCGGTAACTATGAATGCGATATGATATATACTATATTTTGTATTTATCGTGGCTAAATCGCAATCGCGCCACTATAAATTCAGGGTTAGCAACACTGCACAATAATTACCAAATTTTATAAAAATTTAATAAGAACCTTTTTTATTTTAATAAATATTTACGAATCGGTATCAATCTGTTTCCTTAGATTTGATATATATCAAGCCTTTAGTAATCACTTGATTAGCTTCAGAAAATCCCGTTTTTTAATTATTTGCACCCAGATCTATATCAGAGACATAGATAATAATATTGTGATTGAACAATAATAAATAAAACAATTATAATTGAAATAAGTACAATTAAGCGCCTATATAATGTTATACACAAACACACATGAAAATAAAATATGAATGAATGATGATTTATTATTGGATAAAAATAAAACAGGATAGGAAGAAATTTATAAACAAGACATGTTTTTTGAATAAATATTTAAAATTTATTTTAAAATATAAAAATAATCAATTACAAAAATCTTTTTTTTGACAGAAAAATTTATGGGGGCCAAAAACTTTTTCCCAGGGGGTGGGGGTACTGCCCCCCCCTCCCCCCCCCCCCGTGGCTACGGCCCTGAATAAATATAATAATTTTTATAATGGTTTGAGAAAATTACTAATTATCAATTTATATACAATTATGTACAATTATATAAACAAGATGGGCATCGTCAAATATAAGGAGCAAATACAAATATGCAAGAAAGCTCTGTCCAAAAGAAATTACCAATAATATTTTAAATGAAGAAATATTTTGGACCAAAAATTCAAAATTTTAGGCTATTTTTTAACATTTAGCTATCTTATTGTTCTAAGTACAAAGAGATAAATGTACCTTGCCCCACGTGAAAAATGTGATGCTTAATTTGGAAAACACATAATTTAATCATGCCATGATTTTATAATTTTTTCGCCAGAAGTAAAAAAAAAATTAAAGATAGGTTTAAAAAAAGAAAAAAACAATCCAAATTCATATGCTCCCACTGCTGATTATTTATTAAATCCCCAATATAAGGGAAACCTCTTACTAGTAGGGAGTTTAATAAATCATGTGATATAATACTAGAATTAGGTATTTAATAAGGTGATGATAATCAAAATATTTTAGTGATATCATAAATTTCTGAAGTAAAAGCGGAGGAATATTTAATATGCAAAATATGTGGAAAGGCAGTAACTTTCATAAAAAAACAATCCGATTTCAGGCTCAAGTTGTCGGATATGACTTTGCCTACCTTGAACATTAAGAGAAGTGTCTAATATCTTATTAAAAATTCCTAGTTATACTCCTTTTCTAGAAAAATCGATAAGATCTCGAAAACTAGAAAATTGGCAAGAGTATATCATAACCTAATATTGATTAAAAATATTAAAGAAAATGATAATATTGAATATAAATAAGAACAAGACTCTGTCATGGAGAGTGAAGCATTAATTATAGAATTTAAAAAAATATAATATAATATTACTAGATTCATTTTTTACTATTATATATAAAATTGTCTTTAAAAACATTTATTTGAATTTGACCATATTTGACGGTAATGCACAACCCTGGTAATATTAATGATTGTGACAACTATGATGGGGCATAACTGAGCAATAAACGTCACTAGAAAAGAAACCACCCTCTAGAACTCAATAAAATCAAAATATCACAACAAATAAAACATATAATTCGAATGTATGTTTGCGTTTCAAGAGGTTCGAACTAAACAGATATTTTTAATTTTTACGAATCGAACATTTTTATCCGCACTTGAACCTAATCCGAACCGATATTCGTCTCGGTTCGGATCCCTGTTGATTACCTTATTAGATTAAATTGGACTGCAGTTTTTTTTCTGCATTGGAATATGTATTAATAAATTAACTAACTACACAATTTTATGCTATATTTTTTAAAAAAATGATATTGATTTGACTGTGAATACACGAATATTATTATATTACAACTTAAAAAACTAAGAGATAATATCGACCTAAAATTTCAAGATTTATGTGATTATCGAAGGCGATATTATATGTTGAGATTTGGTAGACTCAACTTGCACCTAGGCAAACAATTGTTCCAATATTAACGTGTATTACTTAGATATCCGTCTTAGGATATATTAAATATTTGGTTCAATCTTACTCAGAAGCTATAAATATATCTGAAGGCCATATCTGATGACAAATTAATTTCAGAATTTAAACCTTGGTATGAAAGATTAATTAATTAATAATCCTCCCAGAAACACTATAAGAGCATTGCATACTTTAAACTATATTTGTAGTACTTTCCAAATATATTAAAATTGGTATATATTTTGGCAACAATACCAATTAGTAAAAATACCAATAAAAGAACCTTTTCTTCATTACGGAGAATAAAAAACTATCTCAGAAATATACGACATCAGAAAATCGATCGAATGGACTAGCTTCAATTAATATACATAGAGATGTAATTCTCAAAAACAAATTAATGAAAAATTGGGGCAATCACTAGATTAATTTTATTTATAAATGTTATTTTGATTAACTTTTTAAATCATCATATTTAATTTCATATTTTAATGTGATTTATATTAGAAGTCTGCAACGGGAGGGTTTTTAGACAGCCGAACCATGTAAGTGGGTGGGCGGGTTAAAAATTTACAATGTCTGGGAGGGTTAAAAAATTTTCAAATTTTATTTATTATTTAAAATCATTTTAGGTAAACTAAATAAAATATGCTAAATAAAATTTCAACATTTTTAAAGTTCTGACAAATGAGGACATTGTGGTCAGAAGAAATTAATGAAGGAAAAAAATATATCGAAAACATGTTGGATTTAATTTGCATGGTAGGATATAATATCGACGTGGATAAAAATCTGATTTTACCCGTTTCCCCAAAAGAAAAGAGAATTCAATAAAAGGGTATTAAATTATAAATGCAAATGTTCGAAATAGATAGCATCCATGTAAAAATTAAATCACAACAGATGGGAGAATGAGATTGGAGAGAGCACCATATCTAATGACAAAATAATCTTAAAGTAACGAGTTTAGTATAATATAGCAAGATTTTAGGCTGCTTAGCAATTAATTTAAATTTTTAAATTACTTTTTATTTAAGGATTTCATAGAAGATTTACTTCAAATGGATATCCTACTTTGGTGAAATAGAGATGAAATAGATTTACCAAACTATCAAGATTAGCTAGAAAAATATTAGCAATTCCAGCAACTAGTGCCACTCCTGAACGAGGATATAGCATTGTTGGAAGTAGAACAAAGTAGAAGGAGTTTGAATCCAGAAAATGTGGATACATTATTATTTAGCATAATAAATACAAATAATATCAATTTTCTATTTATATTAATTTCATAAATATTTTATTTGATCAAATCTAATATACTAATTTCCTGTGTAGCGCTGAAACTGAATCATATTTTTTTATTAGAAGCTTAAAATTATTGAAAAAATGGGAATATTTAAATTTATAGGGGCAGGCATGTGCTAAAATTTTTTTTATAAATAATAAAAGGGTAAAAAAATTAGACTAATGGGCAGGCAAAGAATTTTAGTTTAATAAGGGAGCGGGTATATTTTTTAAAACTATGGGCGGGTTGGGCAGCGGGTTAAAAATTTCAAAACAAATGGCGGGAGGGCTTTGGACTAAAAATCCGCTCATTGCAGACCTTTAACTTATATATCGGGAAAGAGAGCTATAACATTTGGTACTAATAAATTTTAAATGTTCCCAAAAAGATCATTTCAATATTTAAAAAATAACCCCCCCCCCCCCTTTAAAGGGCACGAGCCTGTTCGTGATTATGCATCAAATATTGCCCTGGCCTTCTAAAACGGAAAATTTCAAAATGTTTCGTGTTTTTCCAGTTTACAGCTAGGAGTTTTTTGCATAGAAAATAATTTTTTATGAATTCGTTAAAAGATGATAGATGGTAAACAAAAATTAATCTATATATCGGATCGGTTAAAAAATTTTGAAAAATCGTGCTCGTCAAAACCTAAAATTTTTAATTACTTGCCATATGGCAAAATTGTAAAAAAGGGTTAGGTTATCCGATATGATGATAATGTTTTAGAATGGCCAGTATAAAAAAATCAATTTTGCAAAACAGCTTTTGAAAAATATTTAGAATAAGAATAAGAAATCGAACCTTTTAGCCCGGGTTTCAAACTTTATTTCTTTACTATATAAAAATTGGCTTCAATATTATTATTTAATTAAGAAGGTATTAATAATAGATTGAGTGGTAAACAAAGCAAATAAAAAATAAGCTATAACCAAAATACATTTTATATAAATAGATATAGTGTTGACCAGATTGGATGGAAAACATTTTTAATATTTTTCAATTTATTGAAAATAAAATTATTTGACTTGCAAAAAATTGTTAAAATAACATATTTATATATTCTTATCAATTTTTACAAGTTAAATAATTTTATTTACAAACGAATTAAAAAATATGAAAATGTTTTGAATTCTGCACAACACTGTAAATTAAGTATTTAGTTTTTCAGGTTATATCAGGCTAAAGAAAAAATTTTATTTAGTGAATTAATGAATTCTCAATAAAAAAATTTTTACATAAACGAAACATAATTGTTAATATAATTTTCTTAAATTCTGAATGTCACTTTTTGATTAAAAATAACAATGTCTAATTTCTCATTAAAAATAGTCACATAATTTTTATAACATGTCTTTCCTCCTAATTCTCTAAACATTAAATGACGAACAACTTTAATAGGTTTCAAATATTCTTTTTTCTAATCAAAATAACGAGACAATATACCAAGTTTTTAAAGAAACCAGACTTAACTTAATAATTATATAGATATATTACAATATAGTTTTTTTTAACCTGGTCCCAGGCGGAATATGATTATTATGAACATGTTTATCCAAATCTTGCTGTGCATCCTTGTTAGAGGAATTGGTAAATCCTGCCACAAATTTATCCCCATGTTTCAAATTCTTAGCGTTATGGTTTTCTTTGAGGAAATGGTCATCGAAGGTTTTGTTGTGATCGTTACCGGAATCATTGGAAGAGCATTTAAATTTTTCGACCAGTGAGAGTTTTTCGTTGGTGGAAGTGGGCGAATTAAGAGTGTCATGGGTATTTGGTGATGTGAGGAAATGTTCTTGGTGATTGTTAAGCGATGAATTCATTTTGCTTTAAAGAGGAGGGAAAGAGAAAACCCCTGAAATATAAGTGGTGTGTTAGTAAATTTTTTTTAAATTAAATTTTACATGTAAATTTATTTATATTTTTGGAGAAAGGCGGGTTGTTTATAAGTTAGTTATAAATCTATGATAGACAAGAGTATCAAGTCAAAGAAGTAAAATGTTTTCCTTTTGTTATTTAGAGTATATTTTTTAATGAAAAATTTCCTATAATACATCTAATAAGTATGCGCCTGTAAATAGAAAATATTCAATAAAAAAAAATAGTAAAATGAGGGTAAAACACAATAAAAATCGATAAAAATAATAAATTTTTATAACTTTTAATGTCTTTCATAAAAATATAATATGAAATAATTGGTTCTAACAGTGTCTCAGGGTGCTTGCTTGTAAGGAAGAGGAATAATAAATTTAATCTGATGACAAATAAATAGCATAGATTAAGATCTTGAGCAGGAAGGAGAGGATGGATGTTGATTAAAATTAGATGTTATTTTTCGTATAAATTTCGATGAATGGATTTGTTTAAAATTATGTCCAAATTTTTATAATTACTTATACTCAATTAAAAATTTTGAAGAAAAAAACATTCAATTGATTGTCAAAATTTATTTGGCAATTTTAAACATAAAATAAAGACATTTACATTTTTTTATTTATAATAAATCCATGCAAAATTAGAAATAAAATTTGTTATTATTTAGAGAAGGAAAAGAACTGAAATAATAAAGGATAAGAAAGGAGCGGATAGATGATATCTTATATAAACTTAAGTCCCCTGTTGGGTAAGTAGGCCTTTTCAAAGAAGAAAATCGAATAGTGCATTATTGGCATGTGTATGAATAATAAAATTTACTATACTATAAACTGATGATAAAGAACATGCGATCATGTGTTAACAATATTAAATTCATATTAATTTTAATTTATAATTCCACTGCCAATTTTTAAGACAAATAATTTTTAAGTTTTTTCCTTATTTTTTGACAGAAAATTGTTAAAACTTAAGAAAAGCCTTACATCACCTGTAAAATTGATCACTTATCAATTGAAATGCTAAATTATTAAATTTTATTATAAAACATATTAATAATTATTCAGAATAATTCAAATGTGAATTATTCTTTTTATTCGAATAGAATTCTTTTTTCGTATTCGAAGAAAAACGAATAATTTACAATTCGTATTCGTTACTATCTGATTCGATTCGAATATTTAATTTTTTTAAAAGGCCAACTGGGTAATAATTAAGGTTTAAAAAAGCGAAGTTCTACTAAATAATATAATTAAAGTATTAAAAATGTTATAACGCGAAAAAATATTGTGGCGAATTATAAAATGTTTTAAAAAGTGAAAACAAATTAATTTTAAAAAATGATCGTTTAACAAAAGTTTAAAAAAGATAAAATTTCAAAGAAAAAGGATTTATGAATAATTTAAATTATTTACGAAATAAAGGTTAAGGATACTATTATTTGATGAATAACTTTTTACCTTCATTTTATATCTGATTTTTTTAATATTAGTATTAGAAAATAAATTTAATAATTCTTTATCAATTTATTATATTGCTTAACAAATAAGTTACGTCCTGAGTTACACCGTGATTAAAAAGATTTTTAAAAAAGAAGATGATTATAATTTCAGACCAAAACGGATAATAAGAGCGCTCAATTCATTTAAAAAGTTAGATACAATATATTTTGTCTGCCAAAATAGAATAGGCTGTTTTATAAAAAAAATTTAAGGAGGCTAATTTTTATCGTAATTGATGTTACAATATATAATAATAACGAGAGTTATCGGTAGTGTGACCATTATAAAGGAAATATAATATATGTTAATAAGGGAAGACATGATGAGAATGATTGTGCTAATCATGATCATGCCTGTAATCGAAAAATTCCCAAAGCAATAGTAAATAATATTAATAATGGTAATGGTGGGAGAGGAATAATGTAGGAATGTATCATAACGAAAAATTGGAGCATTTAATAGGAATATTTAAAATTTACAATGTTATGCAAGTGCTGGGCAGTATGGCCACATTGGGAAATAGTGCATAAATTAAAGGAAACCAATAAAATATGTGCATTGCAGGATTCCGCAATAAAAATCCTTAGAAAGGAATACTATAAAAAGATAATTAAGAGGCACTATTTATAACGACTGTATTATCGAAAATGCAATTTGTCATACGCGATTATTTTTAAAATAAATTTCAGAGACCTGCAGAAATCGAATTCTTGAAATCGAAGTGAATCTTACTGGCCGTGTCTGCAGGTCTCTGAATTTATTTATTTGGCATATATTAGGGGATTTCAAAAAATTTTATGCACTTAAATCATTTATAGAGAGCGTCTTTTAATTTAAAAACTTGACTTTGCCAGAACCTGAATCCAGCATAATATACAAATGGTACCTAGCATGTGTATTTCAGAAAATGTCGCTATGAATTTCTGTATAAAATTTTAATTTTATATAAAAATTAATCAAAAATACGATTTCGCATAATCAGGTTTTAACATTTTTTTTAAAAAAAGCGCGTTATAAATGATTTAAATTTTAAATTATAATTTTAAATAATATTTTTAGGAAAACCGGTAGTGCTATAGGCGGAATCAAAAAGGTAAAACTGTAGGTATTCTTATTTCATTAAAACATGCATTGGCTATGATTAGTTATTTTTTAAAAGAGTGTATATGTTAGCGTCAATGTGTTTTTTTCCGGCAATGTGTTCCGGCATGTTCAGAAATCTTATGGATTGTAGATAATTTCAGGTTAACTTTTGAGTCATTTATATTTTCAATCAAAAATTTAAAAAGTTCATGATATAATTATATTAAACTTACAATGAAATACATTTCTGGTAAAATTAAAATTTTAAATTTAAAAAAGTGTCTCAAAAAATTATTTGAAGTTAAAAAATTGCCGCTAACATATATAGATAGCACCTGCCTTTTAAAATGTTTCTTGGACAAATTAAGTTCCTTATCATACTGGTTAGTGGATGTGTTTTGCAACTTATAATGCATTGGTGGTAAAGTTTACACGGTATATTCAAGGTAATGTATGGGGTAACATGTTGCCGTAATATATTCGCGATATTTTATAATAAATTTTTAAATATATTTTTTTTTCCCTAATTAATAAATAAGGTATTTTGAATCATAAAACTAATAAATAATGTATGAAGTCTTAAATAAATTTAAAGGAATTATTTTAAAACGAGTTAATAATGAAATTTACTTAAGTTATCTTTAAAAAAAATGAAATAACTCATAAAAATCGATAATAATATTTGATATTACGCCAAAACATTATTATATAAAATTGGGATGATATTTAGGATTAAATTTTAATAAAAAATAAATAGGGTGTCTTCCAAATATTTTTCCCAATAGAGTATAAATTGTTTTTTTGGGTCTGATTACTTTCCCAGCCTAAATCGGTTAGTTCCGCAGTGATTCCATTTTATTTTTTAAATTCTCTTTTTAATATTTATTAGTGTCCATTTCATATTCTAAGGCAAAGTTAATTCTAGTTTACGAGTACAAGATAATTAGAACTTGTAATTTTCTAAAAAAATAGTCAGGCAATGAACAAATTTAGTTCCATTGTTCACTGGCACTTATTTTAAAGTTGGGGTGGAGTTTTAAAGACCAATTTATGGAATGGTCATAATAAATATCTACTATTCTATTTATCATAATCTCCTAAATTTTATACATTTAAAAATGATAAAAAATAAATATAGATGTTAGGCATATTTAATTTTTCTATAAAATATATATCCGTTTTTTAATTCTCTTTAAAAGATGGATGCCTCCTAAGAACGCTATACAATGAATTGGACGTGTTCTTAATGGCGAAACTATTTTACAAATATTGCTAAGCTGAACTCGAATTTTTTTTAGCCTGTCTCCTAATTATTCTTTGTAAAAAAAAATATTTTTAATAAAAATTATCCGGCCTGAAAAATATTTTGTACAAGCTGCTTCGAAATAAATTAGTCTAATTCAAAGGTTCATAGCAGGCCAAAATTATTATTTGTCTTGAAATTTAAGCTCTCGAAAAAAAATGAAATGAGAAAATAAAATATACATCATTTATTTCCATATTATCAGGAATTTATTAAATAAAGCTTATTAGTTGATATGAAATAAAATTTAACCAAGTAAAAATAAATTAGCCAAAAAAAACATTAAAAATAAAAGTAAAATACAAAACAATTAAAATGTAACATTTAAAAGAGTAATTAGAAGCCCTTCACAATCTAAAAATAAAAATCTACAAGACAGATCCAAAAATTACTTGATATTTATCGGACCCGATGTGGTTTCAGGCCAGGCTTGATATATTTTTGAGACATTCTCATTATTTATCATTTAATTGATAGTTATGCATATTATGTGTTAATTCATACTAAATAAACAGAAATTTTTAAAATCATTGATTTTTCTTAAAAAAATATATAATTTAAGAAATTTGAGGGAATAAGATTATAAAATAAAAAAGATAATTAATTATATTGTATTATAGTAATATTCATTCCATTCATTACCTTTAATAAATAATTATCTAATGTAACTAATATAATGAGAATACGATGATTGATAATATGTTAATACAAATTGGTATACAATATTTGTCATTTAAGCAAAAGTCTATACAGGGCCGTAACCACGATGAGGTCCCACCCCCCAAAAAAAAATTTTTGTAATTTATTTTTATATTTTTAAAATAAATTTTAAATATTTATTCAAAAAACATGTCTAGTTTGTAAATTTCTTTCTAACCTGTTTTATTTTTATCCTTCATTCATATTTAATCATTTTCATGAGTTTGTGTATAACATTACATATATAGGCATTTAATTATCACGTTTAAATTGTACTTATTTCAATGATAATTATTTTATTTATTATAGTTCAGTCACAATATTATTATAATATAACCAGTTATTTAAAACAGCGGTGAATATTTTAAAATTATGAATAAACAATCATTTATTAAT